ATGTCCCTGGGGAAGAAAGAAAAAGTCACACTGACACAAATGAAGATTGATAGGGTTTATAGACGGAATTATATTGGATTTGAAATATGAAAATTACAAAGAAGCACAAAGTATTCTGCATTCTGCAAGTAAATAAACGCTGTAAATGCTCAAAATACTTGACATATTTTGTGTCAGACACAAGAAAAATGTAACAATTCAGGCTTTCGTGAATTCACATTTTCAGTTTTTTAACCTTTACTGATGAACCTTTTCCTTTTTTTTCCGATGTTGAGCATTTTTATAAGCTGAGTAACAACCTAACTATCCTAATAACAAATGATCTCCATTAGGCCTGTATCTAAAAATGTGCCTCGTGAGTCCTTTGTTCATACTTCCTGGAAGAGCTCTGTTTTAATACAAGGGAAGACTAGATATTCTGGGAGATATTTGGCATGATAAGCATTAAAACCTGTATGCAGTCCAGTTTCTTCTTTGGAGTTGGCGTGTCTGTCTGAAACATGCTTTATTTTTCCTTTTTATGAAAGCTCTCTTCCAAAGGACCAATGTGTATTTGTTTGTTTTTCATATGGCAAACTGCATTGGACAAATCGATTATATCCTCTGCACAAATGAGTTGGCTGGAGAGCTTTTTTGTCCTGCGCTAAAAGTCATTAGTTTGTTGCTATTAGTGGATTAGAGAAAACAACATCTCATAATTCAATCATTGGGAAACAGGCACAAACCTTTTCAAATGACCATTAAATGCTAATATATATTTGTTACAAGTTAATTGAGCACCGCTATTTTAAACAGTATAAAAGCAATGATTGAGTCAGTCAAATTGCATTATGAAGTTACTTTTAGTGTATATTGGCAACGCTTGTACCACAGCTTGGTTGCTATGGTGCCGATTTTAAGAACATGGACCTTTTCACCAACCAAATGCTAAGACTGTCTATTATACAACATGCCAGCATGTTGCACTATATTAAATTGAATCCTTTCCCAATCTCCTCTTCCAGCCTTTTCAAACAGTCTTACATGCCATGTGCATGACCGAGCTGAATACCTGACTTCCTGAGTAACTATTTTCTATTTTCATAACAAGCCTTTAATCCCAAACATCTGGACTAGAACCTTGTTACACTAACACAACCATCTCTCTCCAACACTCTCCAACATGCAATTATTGGAGGATCTAAGGTGCAGCATGTGTGGGCGATATTGCTCAAATAGAGCAGCTGCGGCATTTAACAAAGCATCTGAAATGACTACATATGGCTGGTCCCGTTTCTGTGGCATGGGATCCAGGGCATTCAGAGACATGACTTTCACAGACGACTGCAGGGGTGATGAGAAAATAGTTATGTGTGTGGTTCTCAATCTGACTCATCACCACTTCAAGTCAAGACTTAGGAACTGCTGAGAAGGAGAAATGTGAGGCATTATTATTTTACCTCTTAGTCAGTGAGCACAGTGGTTTCTGCTCAGGGATGTGGACTTCTGCCCTGTAAAACCCACAGCCAAATGAGAGAGAGAGAGAGAGAGAGAGAGAGAGAGAGTAATATCTTTCTTTCAACCATGATTTCCACGTGTCCACAAAAAATTTAAAGTTAAATAGCAGCCTGTCGAAAACCCTTTTTCTTCCTCGGAAAGACAAAATAAACGACATACGGAACACATTCAAATATGTCATGTCTTTGTTGTATGTTATTCAACGCATATAACACATATTAGATATATTACTAAATAAATGATATCCTCTTTTCTATATACTAGATTTATGGTTGAGAGTATAAACAATATACAATTTTATGACATTTTTTGAGTTTCTACTGCTTGAAAATGTGTACTTTACTCTTGTGTTAAAATAATGACATCTCAATCTCAAATAACAGATTTTAAGTGGAAATTAGTAGTGACCATGACACTGATATAGTTTGTCCCTTTTAAGTTGATATGGTAAGCGTGTTAACTAACAGTAGGCTATTTACACATCCAGTGTATACAGAGCAATATTACCAATATTTGAATTCATGTGATGAAGCTCTCTGGAGACTTTGCAATGAAACTGACTCGCTGAAGAGCGGTGAGAGTGATTCAAAACAATTTGCTTCAAGACAGTCCTCAGAACTGACTTTTAGAACTTAAATCAATATGATTCATGCTTAAGTGTTAAGATTTAAAATGGTCAAAGTTGGCTTTGTGCTGACAGAGGATCAATCCAGTAGGAAGCACCAACGTTTTAATAACCATTCAAAATAGAAAATAACTTCTGGCAGAGGGCTTTCTTTTAAACCACAAGGCCAGTTAATAAAAAATCCAAAGAGTTTTCTTTTTCACTTGCCAACTTATTAAATGGTGGTGTCTTCATGATTTTATAAAGGTAGTTGTACTTTTATGGCCATAAGATGTCATAGATATAAACTATGTTCTAATGATCCCGCAGTGTGAGAGGCAGAGTAGCCAAATTGATATTGAGATATTCAAATTCATTCAGTCATAGAGAGACATTCTTCATCACCTGATGTTTCATAATGAGTCTGAGGGGAATTTATATTTAAAAATAAATTGCACCACTCATTTTAATAAAAGACAATGCAACCACCTAAACATTTTTGACAATGCAACAACTTTGAACTTTTAAAAAAAAAAATTTAACAATAAAGAAAAGCAGGAAATGCACTTCATTTGGCTTCCGAAGGCAGCATTCGATGGTTGTCAAAGCTGACGTAGCATATATGGTAGATTATGTAAATATCTACAGGTGTGAAACCACAAGCGTGCCTTAGGTGTTGTGTCCTATGTGTTACATTTTTTGACCTTTTGTTTCCTTTAGAGTTCTTGTGCCTATTACGCACACTGCAACTGTCATGTCAAAAATCGACAACCCAGTTTTGACCAAAAATAGCATCTCAACACAAAACACCACTATAACAAAATCATGAATAACTTTATGTTATGCATCCATATGGTAAATTCCAAATATTGCTGAATTAAAGTGTGTTGTTTTGTTGGTTCGAATTCACTTCATGCTGTACAGTCAGCATAAAACAGAAACCTTAACTGATACTGAACACAAAGCGAAACCCATTTCTTGTTAAAGCCACCCACATTTCCTGCTGTTTGTTGCTCCACCGCAACACCCAAGTTGCAACTGAATGTGTTGCCTCTTTTTCTGCCGTGTGAGAGGCTCGGTGTGTTCAGTTCACAGCACTGACCTTCTGGCCTGCCTCTCTTCAAACTCAAAGGACAGTAGCGCTTCAGTTTATCCGCAAGTTGTCTCATGTGGCTTATTTGTATTCATGCTAAAACGTTATAGTGTGTTGCTTTAACACAACAACATGAAAATAAAGAAACATTTTTTTTGTAAATAAAAGGCTTTTGAAAAGGTTGGATCTTCGAAGACTGTTGGTGATGGAAATGTTCCGACGTTGCCTGAGAGACTCACACACTCGCTGAGGTTGATCTCAGATTCATCATCAACACTCTCAACCTGTTGTACAGTACAGGCATGGTTGTATTTTACTAATAAGATGCATACATAAATAAATATACAACTAAATCAATAAATAATCTGGCAGCCATGCACACAGTTTCCAACTCAGAAAAAATACTCTTACTGTGATGTCAACATTCTCCTAAAGTTTGTCATTTTTTGGACACTTAATAAAACTCAAATAAAATCATGTGACTTCAGACTATCTATTATTCAACCAATCTGTGTTTTCATTTTTTGTTTCAAATACATGGGTGCAAAGGAAACACAACATAGGGCTCAGAGAAGTAGTTTCAAACCATTTTAATTTAATGATTACATGTTTTAATATTTGCTGGGCTAATAAATGAACCTGAATTAATGTCAAAAGCACAAAGAAAGTACTTTTGCATCATTTTTATTTTTGCTCTCTTCTAAATGGATACCACAGTGACCTTGTCTTCTTTATCCAGCCTGCTATTACCCATGCCATCCATTTTATTCGCTGCAGTGGTCTTTTGGATTGTGCAGAAACCAACAACACCGCTATATTCACCTCCTCAACGGCATCCTCCAACATGAATTGTAGCTTTTCATTCTCCGTCGGCCTCATGACATTGACTCTGAGACGAGGGATGGGATTAAGGGTGCTGACTGGTGTGTCAAAGTGATACTGTCTACTCGCAGTATTTACCTCAGTCTTTCTACAGACAATGACAGCATGTGCATGTATAGCAGAGAGAAGATGTTATAAGGGAAATTAGATGCTGTTGCAATGTACGCAGAAATATATTTACAGCTAAAGAGGTGAGGCAACACCCAAATACATAAAAGACACATAAGCAGATATTCATACAAACACATGGAAATATGTACACAAAAGGCGCAGGCAGGGCTGTGTGTCTGCACCCAACATCTCTTTTTATCTTGCATTGCATTTAGAATGCATGATTGTGATTTTCATATAATGTGTGTCATATCACAAATTGTCCAATGATGATCTATTTGCCAATGCAATGCTATAGAGGAAGAGACGGCAGGCAGACCTAAAATGAATAAAACATTGAATGGAGGAATTGCGACAGTTCCATTTCAATCTCTTCTTCTCTCTCAGAAAGTCTCTGAGTAGACTTGTGTGCAATTGGGGTAAAATCAGTACTTGGATGGTTGCCTGGGTTTGTGCGCACATTGCATTTCTCTGTTCTCTTTATCTCACTCTAGACGCCTACGATGCACCACTTTCACAAGCAAAGCAAACGTTTTTCTCGCATCTGCTCTCTTGTTTGTTAAGATAGTTTACTGGCAATATCCACGTTGGCTGGTGTACTCTGTATCCACGGCTAATTAGCTAATTTCATTGAAGCCCCGAGCTAAATATAAATATAGGATAGGCCTACAAATGTGACCCTCCTTATTGCCTATACACTGTAAGGTGCAGTAAGTCGGGGGTGTTGGGGGATCTTTAAAACAACGATTATCATGTCTAGAAAGTAAGTGCCACAAAAAATAAACAGGCATCAGGCAGGGTCACTTTTAGACTTTTTTTTATTATGCAGGTTTAAAATAAAAGAAGCATTGTGACACAAACAGATGCTGCTGGCAAGGGGGAAAAGAGCAGCACCCAAAATGTAAAAAATAAAGAAATACAAACATTGTTGTGGTCATCATCATTTTTATCAAACCAAAGGAAATGAAACAATAAAATAAAATAAAAATACACCTCCATTGTAAGAAGCAAAAATATCTAATTTATTTCATAAATAAGAAAAAGCTGTCAAATGGCTGATGGGCAACTAGCGAAAAAACAATATATTGATAACCATTTAAAATATTTATCATTACTGGCTTTTACAAATAAAATAACTACAATTGGCAGGTTTTTTTACACAACTTAAAATGTTATAGTTCTGTAACAACTAAAACTGAAAATATGCTACAGTAAGGAGATAAATACAGATGTTTTTGTCAGCAAAATGCATTTCTGTTAATCACACAAAAAGTTAAAAAGATGAGATCAACACAACCAAACACCAAGTAGAAACTTATCAAAATCACTAGAATATGGATGTGATGGCTCCATTCACATATTCTGTTACTTCACTTCTGCATGTCGAGTAGACAAAATTGACATTATGGTCAGACAAAATAAGAAAAGGGAGGCGGGGGGCATTTTGAGGCAATATCTTTTTTTTTTTCACCTGCAACATTATATCTCATTTTATCTCACAGCGTTTCTTTCTCTCCTCTATCTCTTTCCTCTCTACCTCTCACCTGGCTCTTTCCATTTAATGATCTGCAGGACACATATTGTGTATTCAGTTTTAGATTGAACTTTATTGGAAAAAAACACACCAGTGAGCACAGATTTAATGCAAGAACGAGTGTGAAATACTCCTCTGAAATCCAGCTGCACAAGGCTGTTAAAATTCACGAGAAAGACTCGACACTCGAACACTGAGACACTCTCGCACGCAAGTGTGTGTCCGTGCACATACACACTCGACTCCACACGTCATGAATGGGGTACATTCTAACGTCCAGACACACACACGCACACAAAATGACTTACATGTAATATTAAAGAAGAAACAAATCTATCTGGACTTCCAATTCCCAATTTGATCCCATAAAAGTGATATTTACAATCACACTGTGACAGCTCAGTCGACCTGAACAGGTCTTTAATATTTGAAAAAAAGAATATTTTGTTTTGTTACTTTTCCCCACCCAAGCTTTTTGTATCAATTTGCAGGCCCTTAGGCAAAGCTACCATAACATCAAAGCCTGCGCTGAACCTACTAGAAGTTAATATTTTCCTACAGTACAGGGCCCAACGCTTATTGGCAAAAAAAAAGAACAATTTGCAAGCCAGAAATAAATAAAACAGCAACAACAACAACAACAACAAAAAGCCAGAAAAAACCCAAAAGGAAATTAAAATGATTAAAGAAGAGGAAGAGTATATTTTTTTCTTCTCATTCTAATTAAAGCTGGATGGGGTCCCTGAGGGGACTTTGATGGTGACACAGAAGAGGGGTGCTCTACAGCCACACAACTCAGAGAGGAGGGGTGGGAGCGGGAGGGAGGGGAGGGAAAGGGTGGGGGCTTTATAAGTGCTTGGCAAATTTAAAACAGCAAGAGGACTGCTAATACATTAAGCGGTACAGACAGCAGTCATCTATTCAAAAAACTCTGATCACAAATTGTTCTAGAAATTATAATTACATTGACAAAAAAAGGTGGCGGTGGTGGGGTTGTGGAATGTGTATGTGTGTGTGAGGGGGTTTGTATGTGTGTGTATGTTATTGTATGTTAAGTGTGAACTGTGTTTCAGTGTGTGCATCAGAAGAGGGGTTGAGGGGATAGGGGTTGGAGGATGGGGGCGATGAGGTTAGACTCTTCAGTGTCGTTTTTTGTCGACAGGATCTGAGCATGATCTTCAGTTTCAGGTGAGGTAGAGTGGCTTGTCCCTGCCAATCATGCTGCCACTGGAGATAAATAAATACAAAAGCACAGATTAGATTATAAACAAAGAAAAAAGGGTACAGAAAAGAAGGATGCAAACAGGAGAGGAAGTATTTATTCCTTTCATTGTAAATATTTTGTATTCCCTGATAGTCAATAATGAAGCCGAAGCACCCTCTATCTTAGCTTTCCTGCTCTTAGCAAACCCTGTACATTTAACTAAACATTTCATAGCTTTTTAGCACCAACACTTGGAATACCTTCCCATGCTGCAACACTGCGTGCCTGCCAAAGCGTTTAGTACAATAACAGTGAAAACTTGTGTTGGAAACATCTGTTTTTTTACTGCTGTCTGACAAACACATGACAAGCTCTATTATCTCACCATTACCTCTCCAGCTGTCTCCTCTCTCTCACTGGAACGGAGCTGACAATTTTCAACACTTACATTGTGAAAGCAAGGGAGAGACGTCTGACAAGAATACATATACGTATTTTTAAGGGAGCTCGAGTCCTGTCTATCTGAAAAACTTATATCGAAAATAATTCCCACTTTTTATTTTTCCTGTTTAATATATCAAACAGGAAGATAACATTTCCATTTGGTTGAACTCAATTTGTCTCCATTCAAAACGTCCATCACGAGTCTAGGATTTAATAAGTTGCAGTAACAGAGCTTATTGTGGAAAAGCATAGAAAAGCGTCTCAGCTGACCTGCAGTGGTTGCCACACTCCCGATTGCAGTATTCACCGTCCCAGTCATGGCCCTGAGGCACTCCAGGGCCTGGACCAGGGCCAGGGGCTCCTGGAGACTGGGGGCCCCCAAGGCTCTTCTGATACTCTGACTGGAGGTGGGAAAAACCCTGGAGAAAGAAATCAAACTAAGCCACCATCTTAACATATAACATGATTAAAAAAGGAGTTGTGTCTCAGTTTGTTGCTATACCTGCTGCCCAGGAGGAGGGGAGTGCAGAGAGGCCTGCAGCCCCATCTGGTGAGAGATGATTGGCTGGGACTGGACCTGCTGCATGCGGATAGGCTGGTTGAGGAGCGAGCTCTGGTGCAGGGAGAGCTGCTGGTGGGGGTGAAGGGGGGGGCTGATCTGGAAGGAAGAGGGGGGAGAGGCACTAATGCTGGGCAGCATCTGCGATTGGCTGAGCGTCTGGGACAGGGCGTGGCGAGGGGCGTGGCCTGCGTAGCTCTGCAGGTCGGTGAGGGGGAAGCCCCCGGGCCCCAGGTAGGGCGACGATGGCTGGGGGGAGTGTGGCACGCTGTACAGGGGCTGGTTGGCTGGCATCATATGTGAAGAAGCCTGGCTGGTTTGGGGACCTTTTGTCTCGCCGGGATCGTTATATGTCTAGAGAGGGGGCAGGAGAAGGAAAATTATTAGATTTATTGTTCAGATAATTAGAGTTTGTCACAGTGTGGTTCTTTTTTTTTTTTTTTAGGTCTCACAAATTTGCTTTTGCTGTGAAATTAAGTATTTGTGTGAAAACCCTGAAATAAAATGGTTTGGATAATGTTGCATAATTGTTGCTTGTTAACAATCGTTTCTAGTCATGTTGACGTATAATCTACAAATGAAGGCCAAAGCTACAAAAATACTGTAAGACACAAGTTTTAATAAACATTAATTATACTGTTTAGATACATCCAGTATTTACTGAAATATAACAGTTTGCACCTTGCCAGAGGGTTCATGTAAAGGTTATAACTTAAATATTTATGAAATGTGGATCTATTTAATTTTGCATTTCTTGGTGTAAATAAGTCAAAGTAGTTTTACACTGTTCCTTCCAGAACTTAACATACATTTTAACAGTATTAAAATTATAGGACAAGTTTAGTTGCAAATATAGAACAAAAGCTGATATCAAAATAATAAAATGTCCTATGATTCTTTGAGCCTCCTTTTTCCCACAGAGATATATCTCTCAGGGAAAAGTTTTCAAAACAATGGAGGAAAAGAAAAGGAGCAGCTGGCATCGGCAAATTCAAAGAAAATTATTTAAATATTGCATGAAAAATGTAAAAGTGACATGGCTCCTCTTCCAAGACACTTTAATCTGATGTGAACATGCAGTTTATAATTCTATACTATGTATTAGTCATATGTTAAGCCATTGCTGCTAATGCTACCCACGGTCACCACCCTTTTCCCCCTCTCTTTATTTATGTATTCCACAAAAACCCCTGTTGACGCTGAGACACCCGACACACATTCATTCTGCAGCTTTTTCTGTCTCCCTTTCTTTTATGAGGTGGTGTATGTCTGACATACATCCAGTGTTTCTCATTAACTGTCAGACGGGCTCGAGTGATGTGTGGCGGTCTGCTACTTAGTAATGGCTCACATCCATCCCTCTGAACCCATGAAATAATCAATGCAACAGGATGGAGGGATGGATATAAGAGAGGGTCAGATGCATTTGCAGGGTCAAGTGGAAGATGAGATACTGAGGGAAAGGTGTGAAGGGAGAGGGTGGCTGTGATTTCTTTCACCTTGGAACAAAATATTTTAGGGTTATATTTGCAGTATATTGAATATTCATCGTAGGAAATATATGATGTTTGTGCAAATGTATGGGGATTGAAACATTTATGAAATCTGTAAAAGTGAGTTTTTTTAATTGAGACTTTTTTTTAATTACATTCTGTACTTTGGAGATTTAGGATTGAAATGAGCACAAGAGGAGTGCCATGACATAAAGTGGGAAGCAATCAAACTTTTGTTTTTTCTTCTTCTCTTAAACAAACCAACATGCGTCACCAAACAAAAAGGCAACAGGTGCACGCTGAAGATGCGAATCCTTCAAATGATACTCCAATTACCTCCAATTCCACCCGCCCCAATTCACTCTGAAAAGACTCCTTCATTGGTAATTAAAAAAAAAAGAGTCACGTTGAATCATGAGATTCAGCTCTGCATTCAGATTGGCTGGTCCTGAATGAGCGAGGAGGGGGGGCTGCAGGGTTATTTTTGTTAGTCAGTTTTTTGACTGGCAATCTTCCAACATATAGCATCAATCAAGCCTCTGTATAGGAGCTCTGACATGAATGTCTAATTGCACCAAAGACAAGAGATGAGAATAGTCTTTTTAGTTGAAAGTATGCCACAGTGAAGAGGCTGATGAATTAACTATTCATGCCTTAATCAAGGTGCTTGTTTTTGGTCCATGAGCACGAGAGGAAGTGTGGCGCTGTGCGGAGGGGAGGAAGGAGGACGGGGAAGGGGGAGGGGGAAGAGGAGGAGCCTGGTATATGCTAATGCAATTTAGAGTTGTGTTCCGAAAACAATGCACGATAACGGAAATTAAACGCAGTGTAAAAGCAGAATGAAACTGTGGTAACTATAGTGAGAATCCCTGAAAATGTACAAAGACTGCAGCATATTATAGCATGTTTTTTAAATATGTTACTTTTGCAATGTGGTTCATATAATGTTCTGGGCTAAACTAGAGCAAAGAGAGACCAGTAAGTGTGAGAAAACCTAAGGCAACACATTAGTATCCCATCAGGGAGGACAGCAAATGATAGGTAATGCCCACTTCTACTCTAACATGTGCACACTAAAGAGCTAAATAGCACGCACACACAGACGTGCACTGCTACTTTTCATTTCACCCCAGGTTGCAAATTGGGTGTGTGTGAGGCCTAATTGTCACTGTTCTCCACTGAGCACACTCGCCACACACACACACACACACACACACACACACACACACACACACACACACACACACACACACACACACACACACACACACACACACACACACATACTAACCCCTCGGTGCAGCAAGTGGACCCTTTCCGTGGAATAAGAGTGAAAGGAATTTCTGTCTAATTATATCGTCGCTGACCCATGTATATCAAAGATGTGACCCCCGTGGTTACCTTGGAAACCAGACTGGCTCTGTAGGCGGCCAGGGCTTTCAGGTACTCCTTCTTAGCAGCCTCTGTTTTCCTCTTGTAGTTCTGCAGGAGCAAACACAACAACAACAAGGATTTATTACAAGGTGACGCCAAAGGCTAAAATGACCGTGTGGTCCAAACTGTGGAGAAGATTTGAGTCAAGATGTGATTTTTGTGACTTAGCCATTTTCTCTGTGATGAAAAACAAATCAAAAACATCCATGGCACAGCTATCAAGTAAAGGATATTTGACCATATGCATGATGTCTCTGCATTTCAGTCATTTATTTATTCAAAATGTCCAGAATGAAATGCAGAGAAAGCTTGTGTGCACTTCAAGATGGAGTTTGACATATTATGGAGCTAAATGAGGAGTGAGAAGCTGTTTGTCATTGTTGCTTTCCAGCCTCTTCCTCTATTAAGGCTGTTGCTCATCTTTTAATCAGAGCTGATGTCCCAGCAAATCATTCAGACGAGGAGAACAAAAATAAAAGAATTCAAAAAAGCATTAGCAAAGAGGCAATTGCAAGCCTTCTGAATGAACCTCAAATGATGCGTTAAGACAGGGAATTCGAGTTAATGTCATCACATGTCACTCACAGGCTCTTTATAGCTGCCATTGCCTTTTTGAAGCGGGGAAAACAAGTCGCAAAAAGTCCACCCTTAAAATCGAAGAGGAAGACTCAGATCTCAGCTCATCTCTCGCGCATTTTAATATGAAGAAGAAAGTTTGCGTGTGTGTGAATGCAGCGGGTAATTACTGATCCTCTGTGAGAGACTATCTGTGGCTCCATGGACGGGGTCATTTCTTTCCAAGAGGTGGGGTAGAATAACCATTAAGCATTCATGTGTTGCCAAATGCACAAAGGCTGGCAGCAGCTAACACATACAGTCAATAAACAAACAGACATACACAGAGAACAGCAAACAAACCTGGATGAAGACGGATACAATCTCTTGCTCAAACACCTGATGTTTATCCTCTCACTCGTCCCTATTTACAATATTATTATTATTTTCCCTTCCGTCATATACATTCAGGTATTTCAAGAAAGAACTGCATTGAACAAGAAGCTTTAAATAAGGAAATACACTATTTTTAATATAATAGATAATCCCCATTAGAAAATGAATTACAGTTCTTGTTAAAAAAAAGAAAGAAATGACAACCTAACCCCTTACCCCTTAAATATTGATGGATACATGGCTGCCTCTTTAATGAACCCCAAACTTCTCCCAGCAGCTTTAATTCCAAATCAATTTAACACAGCTAATGACTTGCGCAACGACGGATACTTTTAAATAAATTACCATGCCTAAGGATGTCTAATTATTCGAAAGTGAGTGGATTCATTAGCAATTGAAGCCGTCAGAGGCTGCAGGTCAGTTGAAATTAAAAATAACAAAGCTGCAAGGGGAGAGCATATGCCTCCATCGTAATCCTGACACAGAGGTGTCCCGCCTGAATTAGCCCCTAATTGTACCTTAATGAAATGTTCTTGTTTGATAACCAGTTAATTACAGGAGACAATAACTCCGCACCCTGCTGACACTGAAGGGAGTGATTACCCCGACGACCGAAAAGCCGAGCGACCGATGAAGGAGGAGGAGAAGGAGGAGGAGGAGGATAAAAATGGGAGGTAGAGAAGGTGGAGAGATTAGAGTGGTGAAGGAGAGAGAACAATACGTCAAGAATAAAATAAAGAAATAAAAAAACTGTGGATGTGAAAGTAAAACAAAAGAATTGACAGAAAAATATATATAAATCTTTGGATAGATGCTAAAATGTAGCTTATATGCGGAGTATAGCATCTAAACATACAGGCTAAACTGAGTGACAGTGTTTTCTTCCTTCTATCGCTGACCTTTCACTGATACACAACTCCAACACAGCAGACTCAATTAAATAAAGCTAAGGTCTCTCCTCTCTCCTACCAAACTCCATTATCACTGTTCCTCTCCACTGCTCCTAAAACAAAAACGTAAAAATGTATCTTAATCTTTAATAGCAAAAACAAGCAAAAATGTTCTTTTGTGTTTCTAGGGCAGCTTTAACATGTAGTCACCTTGAGGAATAACGCAGCCCAAATAACGCATTGATCTAGCACTATAAAACAAGGGCCTTCGGGAATTAAAGAATACTATACGGCGTGCAGGCATCCGAAAACCTCTTAATAAAAAGGAAAATATGAACATAAACATGAATTAAAAAAAAGACTTTGTTCTACATAACTCAAGGGCGACACTGGAGAATACACAACAATGTGTGCAACATGGGGAAAACGCACATTGAAGCTTAAACGAATCACAAAAAGAACACAAATCACGACAATGACACTTCTGATCGTTTCTTCAATAAAGTACAGCAATAAAACGAGCTGCCTTCAATGCCTTTATGTGAATTTGGCTGCATGGTGTGTTTGAGAAGTACTATAGGTAATTGGAAACAGGGGCCACGTTCTAGTTAAAACAAAGCTGTGTGTAGGGGAAGGGCTGTGTTTACATTCTGGTGAGCCTTCATGGCTCCAGAGGGTCTGACTGTGACATTATAGAACACACCTCATCGGTCCTATAGAGATTACATGACAGCCGATGTTGGAAGAAAAAAAGGAAAGAAAAACCATAACAGCATAAACATTAACAGTCAACGAGCAGGGAGAGACGGAATTAAAGGTGTTTATTGAATAGGTTTAAGGTCTCTGGAATGAGAAGTTTTCACGCTAAATGCATTTTATCATAATTATTGGTCATTAATTGTTGATAGAGGATGCTTTAATATGTTGTCAACACCAAAGACATACATTTTAATACCTTTTGACCTAAATGAGTATTAGCAGGCAGTAGCTGAATTGGTTGCACTCTGTAAATACATGGTTATCAAGTTTATCCATTTTTCTATGCAGGAATAAGTGACAGCGCTAGTCAAAGAGAATAATTAGAGCAATCACAGTGTTATTGCCCAGACAGGGTCCTACATCTCATTCCATAATGAAATCATTACCTCAAGTTAATTATGTGTCTTGCTAGGTGACACGTTTGATTAAACATATAAATGCACAAACAAATCAAAAAATTAGCTGTTGAATGGCACACTGAATGGGCAGATTTTTATTGACGGAATTGCCCTTTTCTTAGTGTCGTCTCTGTTCACGGGTAATACTGTGAAGGACAAATGCATTTAGTAGTAGTGAGAGACAGAGAGAGAGAGAGAGAGAGAGAGAGAGAGAGAGAGAGAGAGAGAGAGAGAGAGAGTGTTACATCTACAGTGCAAAATCTAAGTCGAAAAAGAAGCCGGGACACAAAGGGTTAAGAAGCACAAACAATAACATTTCAGGAGCAGATGTCCTTGAGGCAAAACCAAGGACAAGGCAATTGCTAATCTTGTATTCCCAGCATGATCAAATCACCAGGCAACAGATATAAATAAAAGGACAGGAAATGAGGAATTCACATTCAAGGGTGTCAGCGGCAAAATGAAGATTCATGGTGAAGAGCCCCGGTGAAGGCGGCAAAAATTAACTGCAAATAAAAGGGACAGACGGCCTCCAAAGTCCAGCGTATAAAGTAGGTTTGGTGGGAGAAAAACACACACATGCTAGATAGGGTCTATTTTGACGGTGGCTCGGGCTGAGGAGAATGGGCTGCACTTTGTCATGGAGACAGGTGCTTTTATTTGACACCCAATAGGCTGTGCCCTGACTGGATATTCTAAAAATATGAGTCTGCGCATGATCATCAGACTGTCTCGTTTTCTATTCATTTCACACCATCATTTGTTACCACAAACACATAGAAACTCCTTTGACTTTGGTCTGAAAAGCTGAAATGAAACAGAAAATGTGTTGCGTGGAAATGCACTTTACTGAAGCAAATGTTGATGGAGTTCCCTACGCTCAAGTCAGGCTGTAATAAAAATAAAATCGACTCGTGAAGATATTCAGGGCCATATATCTATCAACACTGCTAATGGTAACAAACTTTTCTCTTCTTTCAATGATGTTCATATGAGGAATCACATGTCAAATATAATGGAAAATGAAGGAAACGAAACCACACAGAATAACCCTAACTTTACTAATTTGGATCAATCTCACAGTCATATGTTCAAACAAGAAATATATAAAAGTGCCTTCCCAGCACCATATACAAGACAAATAAAGTTAGCAACAAACTGGTGAACATAGCGGAGTATTTACCAGCTCAAATTGAAGATAATAATCCCAGGAGTGGGTGGAGACCAAAAACAGAGCTAAAAGTAAGTAGATACACATGTTCCATGTGGCCAAAAAATTACTGCAAATGAATTGCCATGCTGCACTTCAACTGCCGGATGGTTATTTAGTTAACTGTTAGCAAGAAACGTAGCCTTGGATGTATTTCTAAAGGCGGGTACAAAGAAAGAGGCAGACCACATGGATACGAAGGAGTTCTGTTCATACTGTCTGCTTGGAGGACCTGTTCCACACATTTGCAGTAGATTGTTGCAACAATATCACGTGCAGATTGTACAGTACACACTGTCACTACAAAGATCAACTAATGTAGAATACGGAATATAAATGTACCTGTTTCTGCTCCTCTCCCAGTCCGTCCCACATGGAGGCCACTATCTTGGATACGTCTCCAAAGGTGGCGTTGGGATTCTGTCCTTTAATGGCTGCCTGGGTGTCTCTGAAGAACAAGGCATAGGCTGACACAGGCTTGGTCGGCTCATTGGGATCCTTCTTCTTCTTCTTTTTTTGGGGTTTGGGCTTGGGCTTCATCATCTCTGAAGACGGCCGCTTCTCTCCCGTGATCTGGAAGACCATCAAAAAACACAAAAAACAAAACGACTTATTGAAACTGCAAATACAACGCTTTCTAATTTGGTGGTTAGTTATTTTAATTGTATTTACTGACAGTAACATTTTGACACCGCCACTGGTTGACAGCATTTATTTTTTCCGCCTTACTTTGTCAGAAATAACATCTGTTAGTTGAATTTATCAAACCTTTTCAAATCTTTATTCTTCAGTTGTTCAGCAAGTCATAAATCCTGACTTTCGAGCTAGGGGTGAAAGGAATTTTAAATCGCCTGCTGTATCTGCTCTGGCTTTGATGTGGTCTCAGAGTGAATTGGAGAGAGCAAATGGAATTACTTACTGATAGGAGAGATGGTAATCATTTTTATTCACGCACGCAGTGAGAAGCACAGCAGAGATGTATATGCAGGGAAATATATTTTCTTTAACTAAAGGATCATTTCATCTTATACTGTATCAATGCATGCTGGTGGAGCATTTAAATACACAGATGAATCTGAAACATTGTGGATGTGGCAGATTCAATTATACATTCATTCACATTCCCCTGATAGAAACGAAGCAAATCCACAGAGACATTGGTTTGTGGGCAATTTATGAAAGCAGTTTTACAGATTTATACAAACCGAAAGACTGTAAACAAGTATCCTTCTCTTATCATTTAAATAAATTAGTGATTAAAATGAAGTGTAGCTCTCAAGCCAGATTGTATATAACATTAATGACAACATAAGACTGCCAATACTTTGTATCTGTGTTATTGATGATCAACCAATTACAGTATTCATCACATCTGTAAATAAGGGCGGTTTGTTGCAAGAAATTCCTAAATAATTTAAGGGAAAAGGTTTCATATCGTTTCTCATTTCATGTGTCTGTAAGTGTTTGGAAATTAGAAAAAGAGAACATTTTAATAACAGTGTCTACACCTAGAATCAATCATGAATGTGACACCACAATCCTACACTAAATGACATACTCATACAAAACAAAGGAAATCATGGCTTCAGTTCCATTCAACAGCAAACGTGTGCAACCAGGTGAGTTTCCCAGCAAACCCAATAACAAGCACAAGCATGGCTACCCTGTTTGGATTCCACAACTAAAGTCAGCATGCAAACCATATCTGACTGCCAAGCCCTCGCCTCCTACTCCACTGCTATAAGCCGGACATGCGTTGCTACATCAGTACCTTCGAATGAGGATCAGTCTCCTCTTCCTGATTGGAGCTTGAGGGGGAGGGTGTGGCCGATTTACTCCCGGGAGGAGAGGGAGAACCATGAGGCAGGGCACTCCTGCTCACATGAGGGTTTAGCTGGGTCAGTGCACTCATAGGGTTGGGCAGTATCGGAGGTGAGCGGTTTATCAGGGAGTGGTGACGGGCGCGGTCATAATGAGCGCCGTCTGGGTGCTGGTGATGGTGATGGTGTTGCTGTTGTTGGTGGTGGTGGTGGTGCAAAGCCATCTCCTGCATCTGGGGTGAGAGAAGAACACCAGCTTTACTATTTGCTCCTCAATGTTATGAAAGTATGCCAATTAGCCAAATATGCAAAGACTTTGAAAATAGTTTGAATAAATATGCATGTGTGTTAGAAAAAATCTATAATTGAGGAATGAGGGAAATGTGTCTGTTGGAAGAAACTACACACACACAAAACCCCTCATGCAGGTTCTCATTGTTAAACTAAAGCTGCTCATTGGGAAGCTTCTCTTTTTGTTTTCAATTGTCTTTTGCCAATACAGTAGCAGGCCATTTATTCAAACTTGCAAGTTTGTGGCCAAGTTAATTTATTTAACTTCTTTGGTACCTGGCTTTAGCACATTTTAAATACTGGGAGCAAGGTGATTAATCAGCTTTATATCTCCCAAAAAACATATGTTATCTCTCAACCCCCACTAACCAACACAACTCACTCAGACTTTGAAATAAATCTACTTTGCTTCCTATTACCATTCAATCTTAACTAACCAGACAAGAAAAAAATGAATATAGCATCTGTGAAATTCCCCATAGTTTTCTGAAGGTTAATTTTGAAGGCTGAAAGCCTTTGGGTGTATGGCCTGCTGCCATATTGTCAGTTAACAGAGCCAGAATATCTAGATATCAATGAGTTGGAGGTGGATGGAAACTGATGAGTGCAGAAGTCAACACGCCAAGCTGTGATGGGCTCAGACAGCTGTCGATCAAAGAAATGAGACCCCCATAAACCTCTGTAAAGATCTGTTTTCTTTTTAATGAAATAGGTGAAAACAGCCATTAAGAGCTTAAAGCAGCTGTAAAGTAGTATTTTAGACATGCTCAGAGACCCCCCTTAGCAAAAGCATGTATCGTCTTTGAACTTATAATAACGTTTTTTTAGTCCACAACTTCCTTCTCTTTTATTTTTTATAGTGTGTGGTGGAATCACCCATTTGAAATGGCAGATGTTTGCAGCAATTCTCTCACTACAATACCATCTCAGCACCAAATGGCAGACAGAAACAGGAAGCGACCATCTTTTGAATGTTGGACAGCAGCTAAAGAGCCAGATATATTTCTCAGGACTTAGTGAAGACCCAACACATAGCTAAAATTAGATTGGACTTATTTTGGAATTAAAAAAATATGTTTTTCCCCGATTTAAGTCAAAGCTTTTACACTTCTTCAAATGTCAAGCCAATCGTTGGATAGCTTCACAAATATTAGCTATGACACCTTATCACTTAACTCAGAATTAAATCATTTGTCAAAGGAGCTTTTTATTGCAGTTAAAGGTAAAATCCATGATTTACTTTCACGTATATTTACATCTATAATCACTAAGTAGTGCAATAAGTGCAGGCCCTCCAGGGTCCTTGAGACATGGTGACCTGGTTGTGTTTGCGGAAGACTTCAGTTCCTGCTTCTGGAAAGTGTAAAGCATAGATCTGCACCTTGCAAAGCTATCATCTATGGAATTGATCAACAACCCTATCAACCCCCTGTAGATGTATTATGCTCACTGCACGCTGTGAAAGAGAAAAATATCACTTAGTGCAAAGTTAAACACCACCTTTTTCTACACTTGGGCCTAGAAATAGCAACAAAAGTGGTGCTCGCAGCTGGAGAAAGCCCCCCCGCATAGAGAACACCCTTCAGAGTGATTACAGAATCAGACCCTCACAAAGTTCTGCTCTTAGCCATCTTAAAAGATATTCAATAATAACTAGATGAAAGCTTTTTCTTCAAGATTCATCCGGACAGAACATGAACACGGACCAAAGGATGCTTTTAATGTAGGCATAAATGGGAATGTTTGGCAATTTACAGATCAGAAAGTGACGAACCAGCATTTGTTAGCTCTTTGAAACATTTATGAGTTAAATAATACATTACACATTAGTGAAGTGCTAAAAAGATCAAATTGAAAAGGCCCGAGCATATGAAGTCTTGATAAACACGAGCAGAGGTTCAAAGATGAAGGTTTGGCTCTCTAATCATAATTGGTCCCAGTAGATTGCTGGAATAAAAATGCACAACAAAGTAATGTAGTACGAGGCTCTGGCCTGCTTTGAAAACTCATAATATTCACACGACATTAGATTCTGTGTTTGCCTCAGCAGCTGCACACAAAAGGCAGACATGAACAAAGACATTCCTTTTGCATTTCAAATAACCAAGCTCTAACCTCCCCCCATCCACAGCAATCGACAACTTCCAATAATAATTCAAAACACCACCACTTCTTGAAACATGAGAAAATAGCTTCAGCAAAATAAGTAATAAGAAAGCAGGGGGAAAAAAGAGGAAGAAAGGGAAAAGAGAAGGAAATAGAAATCCATTAATTTTCCATTTGCTATGGACTTGCTCTTTAAGGGTCCTCACAAACCAAGAAGCATTGAAAAACCAATTAATCAAACATGAATGGCCTATCATAGCTATAGCAGATGCATTTCCATAGCAACAGCCTCCAGGCAAAATTGTCACCCTTTAATCTGAGCCACACCATGTTTAATATAAACAAGAAGCAGACATGCCGAGCAGAGGAGTTCACCGGGGGAAGGCAGCGTGGCATTATGGGTACTGAGTGTCGTAGGAGCAGAAACTAAAAAAGGGTCACTTAAAAGCTCTTACAGACTTGCAAACATTTATTTTCAAAGTTACATTTAAAGGGTTTAAAACACATTGTTTTTAATTGTAAAAACATGTGATATGCGACTCAATGGAGATTGCAGTGGCATCTTATGAGTCGAATTGCATTAATTTACATAAATAATCAAAAATAATTCAGTTTTTCTTGGTTTTTACTTTGAATCAAACACATTTTATTTGACATTTTTTATCTTCGCTCATATTTCATAGCATTGAGTCAATTTTCATTAGAGACGAGTGCTCTGTCTAAACTAATGAAGCGGTAAGTCACCAGAAAATACAGAATCAAAGGAAATATTAGCTTTGAACATTGTTACTGTAAAAACAAAGCAATGCAAACAGAAATAGGCTGATTCGTATGTTTGAAAGTGTGCATGACTGTTACTAACATCAATGCATGCAGTATAACACCTACAGGATGTGTGCTCATTAGACATAATCACAACAATCCTACTGAGATAATGTACTCCTAATAGCTCTTATGTCATTATTTAATACGTCTCCGGGTGCTTTTAGTTGGTGCTTTCACCTGTGCGAGGCAGAGAGAGCTAGAAGTTATCACATAGCGCCATCAAGCCTGAGCTAAATAAAGCGAGCGGCAGACGGCTGTACAAATATTATGAAAGAATCTGACAAAGGTTGCCGGTTGCCATAGGTACTGTATGCTAATTTCTAATGGTATCATCCGGAAAAAAGGGGGGGG